ATGCACACGCGCCCGGCGTGAGTTTAAGCCACCTGGTCCGGGACTCGAACCGCAGTTGACTACATGTGAGTCCAGCGACATAGCCATTATGCTAACTGCTGGTCCCTTACTATTATTATTTTAAAATTTGACATAGGGCGTGTGCACTCACCAGAGAGACAGAGAGAGAAAGAAGGGAAAGTGAGAAGGCAAGCTGCCAGGTTCAGGACTTGAACCATGGTCAGCCATGTGGGAGTCCAATGCCTTAACTTTCATGCCACTTGTCAGCCCCCATCTCAGAAAAAATGAAATAATTTTCTCTACAAAGTTCTAGATAACAGGGTCTATGAGGTATTTTGTTTTCATAAATATCTATGATTTTTCAGTCAGGTTATTAAAATGTTATTTAAATTCCTAGAATCTTAGAACAATAATTATTTTTCTTGAATAATTAATGAAATATTAAGAAAAAAATCTTCCAGTTTGCAGCCAAGCAATATTTCATCAGAAATGTTTGTTCACTTCAGATAATGAGTTTAACAACCTTCACTTTAAGTACTCATATGTGTTCCTAACCATGAATCTCGATCACTTGCACAGTGCAAATCAGCCATTTCTTTGAGGCATAGCTACTGCATATCTAGCACCATACCAAACTCTACTTAGAAAGATGAATCCAGTAATTGAACTTCCAAGAAGACTGGTAAATGTGGTAAATGTTTCTATAATGCAGAATAAAAGGATGTAAAATAGACATTGCTTTAGTAAAAGAGACTTAGGAAGGGCTGGCAGGTGGTGAACAGGCTGGACTCCCACATGGTCGACCTTGGTTCAAGCCCTGAACCTAGTAGCTTGCTTTCTCACTCTGTCTCTCTAGTTAAATCTATCTATCTATCTAAAAAAAAGAGAGAGACTTAGGAACACAGTGCTAAAAAAACAGTTAATTTTATAGGGTGGGATCGGGGGATGTTAGGAAAGAGTTATTGTACAAAGCAGGTTGGCATTGAAGCTAGTACTTGAAGGCAAGGAGGAGGAAAAGGAAGGTGCCTTTAGCGGGAGTGAGTGTGGGCAGAATCCTCCCCGGCTTGCTGTATGCCAGGCACAGTGCTAAGCACTTATGATCATGAGCTGATTAAATCCTCAGAGCAGCTTCTCACAAGAAGTAGGTTTATCACCATTTATTTTATGTTTTAAAAGAATTCATTAAATTTAATTTAATTCGACCAGAGAGAGACAGAGAGGGGGAAAGTGAGAAAGCAAGCCACCAAGTCTAGGACTCAAACCATGGTCGGCCGAGTGAGTGTCCAACACCTCAACCACCATGCCACCTGCAGGCTCCTTATTATTTTTTAATTTGACCAGAGGTAAAGTGACAGAGGAGGCTGCCAGGTCTGGGACTTAAACTGCAATCAGCCATGGGGAGTCCAGCGCCTTAACCACTGTGCCACCTGCTGGCCTTGGTTTTATCACCATTTATACACAAGAAAATTAAGGCTGGGAAACAAAGTAATTTACCCAGGACTCATATAAGAAAAGCATTACCCACGTCTAGTAACTGGTATCAGACCTCTAATGTGGATAGATCACTCATGGGCAGAGTTGGAAGGAAAGGAGTGGCTGGAACATTATCTCAGGGCCACGTTGTAAAGGGTCCTTTCTGCTTTATTCAGGAATATGTACTTTATCCTCTAGGTATGTGGGAGGTACCGGAGATACAAGGTTGCAGCCATGCGCACAGAGGGTCATAGAATTCTAGAGCTAGTGGGAACCTTTAAAGATCATGAGGTCCGATAACCTACTAGGGAAATTGAAGTTTAGAGAGCAAAATGAGGTGCCTAATTAGGCTACACAGCTGTGAATTTCCATACTGCTTTTATGAACTAAAAATAAATAAATAAAATACAGAGAGAGGCTTACAGTAGTAGAATTTAAAATGGTAATGGGAGCATCGAAGAGAGATTTTTTGCTATAGGGTGCATGCACGAGACAGAGACAAAGTAAGAAATCATCCACACACCTCCCCCCTCCCCGGGGGGGGGATGGTTGCCCCTGCAACCCCTTCTCCTCCATTCTCCTCTGGAGATCTTGGGCACTCATGCACACGCACCTGGTATGTTTCATTCTGCTGGGTCTTGGACTCAAACCTCTGTCAGCCATGTGGGAGTCCAGTGATAGAACCATTTGCCACCTGCTGGTCCCTCAGACTATCTACTAAACTAGTGTATTTTTTGTTGTTTTATGAAGTTTCTAAGCCCAGGACCCTTTTACTTTTTTTTTTTTTTTGGAGAGATTTTCGCTATAGGGCGCGTGCGCTCGCCAGGCAGACAGAGAGAGACAGAGACAGAAAGCGAGAAATCACTCCCCAGGGGGGATGGCCACGCCGCAATCCCTTCTCCTCCATTCTCCTCTCGGAATCTTGGGCACGCACACACATGCGCCCGGCGTGAGTTTTAAGCCACTGGGTCCGGGAAGCGAACCACGGTTGACTACGTGGGAGTCCAGCGACACAGCCATTACACTAACTGCTGGTTCCCAGGACCCTTTTACTTTTTGTTTTATGTTTAGGTTTTTGCCATAGGGCATGTTCACGCTCACCAAAGAGAGACACAAGAAAGTGAGAAATCAACCCCTCAGGTGGGATTGCCACCCCACAATCCTTTTCTCCCCCATTCTCCTCTTAGGACCTTGGACATGCGCCTGACGTGATCTCATGCCACCAGGTTCAGGACTTAAACTGTGGCTGGCTCTGTGGGACTTCAGCCCCTTAACCACCATGCCATCTGCTTGCTCCCACCCTTTTATGTTTTTGAATTACTGAATTTTTAATTACCGTGTGTTGACATTTACTATGTTGAAATTAAAGCTTTAATTTAACATTTTATTTATTAACATATTTTTTGAAACAAAAACACTAAAAAAATGGTAGTACTTAACTTTTTGCAGATCTTGGTAACATCTGGTTTAATAGATTCTCATGACTAATTAATACTATAATTCATTATAAGGGTATTTTTAGGTTTTGCTATAGAGCATGCGTGTTTTTCAGGGAGAGGGAGAAAGTGAGAAATCACCCTTTAGTAGGGATAATCATACCATAATCCCTTTCCCTCCAGTATCCTTTTGGGATTTTGAGCATACATGCACACCTACCTGGTGTGTTTTTCAAGCCATCAGGTCTGGGACTGGAAACACTCAGTATGTCATGTGGGAATCAAGCCTTACCCACCATACCACTGGCTGGCCTTAAGAAATTCATACTGTATTTCCTTTTTTTCATAAACCTTTTTTTTTTTTTTTAAAGAATTTTGTATTTAATTTTTAAATTAAAAAAATTTTGCATTATTCTTCTTCAATTTGACCAGAGAGAGACAGCAAGAGAGGTAAGGAGGGTGAGAAAACAAGCCACCAGGTTCAGGACTCAAACCACAGCTGGCCACGTGGGAGTCCAGCACCTCAACCACCATACCTTCTTGGCCCCTTTCATGAACATGAAAATTTTTTGGTTTGTTTTTAAAGAATTATTTATTATTATTGTTATTTTTCCACATGAATTCACCAGAGAGACATAGAAAGGGAGGAAAAGTGAGAAGGCAAGCCATCAGGTCTGGAACTCAAACCACAATCGGCTCTGTGGAAAGTCCAGCCCCTCAGCCACCATGCTGGCACCCTGCTGGCCTCTTCACAAACTTTTTTAAAAGTTTATTTTATTCAGCAGAGAGAGTGCATGCAGGAGAAGGAGAGGGTGAGGGAGAAATGGGGCACCCTCTTACTCCAACCGAGCCCCCATTTGTCACGGTCTTGGCCTCCACTAAAGGCATGTTTTCAGGCCCATTTGGGATCTGATCCTGCAGTTGGCCATGTGCCTTCCTGTGTTGCAGTTCAGTACCCTGCCTCTTGTGCCACTGAGGCTGGGCTTCCATGGACTTTTCTAAATCCCCCCTTATGTAGTTGCAATAGAGAAGGCCTCTAGACCCCTAAAAGAATCTGGGGTACCCCACATGTCCTCAAACCACATTTAAAGAAATTCTGTGCTAAAAAGATAGAATTTGGACTTATAAAAAATATTGGGTTGTCAGAAAAGTCATGGTGTATTTTTCTGTTTCTTTCTGAGGTTTTTGCTATAGGGTGCGTGTGCTTGCAGGAGAGACAGAGAGACAAAGTGAGAAGTCCCATTCCACCCCATACCCACCCCTGACCCTGGTGGTTACTCATTATTTACATTTTACTGATGTGGAAACTGAGGTTTATCAAGATAATGATTTGTTCAAGGATATAGGCTGTGTATCCGAGCCAAGATTTTAATCTAGACCTCTAAATCCAAAACACACATATTCACTATTCTATTTAACAATAAATTTTAGTCACATTTTTTAAAAATTTATTATTTTTGGAGGGAGAGGTTTTCGCTGTAGGGTGTGTGCACTCACCAGAAAGACAGAGACAGACAGAAAGTGAGAAATAACCCCCAGGGGGGATGGCCACGCCGCAATCCCTTCTCCTCCATTCTCCTCTTGGGATTTTGGGCACACACGCACATGTGCCCGGCGTGAGTTTAAGCCACCGGGAACGGGACTCGAACTGCAGTTGACTACATGGGAGTCCAGCGACATAGCCATTACACAACTGCTGGTCCCATTAGTCACTGTTATTCATTTCATTTGAAAAAAAACATACAAAAGAAACTTGTTCAGAGGATTCATAGAATTGCAGCACTTGCTTTAGGTGGCCTGTGGTGGTAAAAAAATGTTACTTTTGCTCTATATTCCCAGGCTAGTGTTTACTGTAGTCTGTTTCTGAAGGGAGAGTATGAAGTAGATGTGAAGAATATCTGGCTTCCAGATACCCCAGTCCTACAGTTCAAAGCTGTTAATTATTGCCAGTTGTTAATTATAGGATGTTCTATATGCTGCTCATTTTCTGCTTGTCTTTCTCTCTCTCTCACACACACTGTATATATATAAATAAATACATCTGTATGTTTTTATGTTGTTTTCTTTTTTTTTCCCCTGGCCCTTCTGCAGCAGCGATTCCAGCAGTAGTTCAAGTGATGACTCTCCAGCCCGATCAGTTCAGTCTGCGGCAGTCCCAGCACCCACCTCCCAGTTGCTTTCATCTCTGGAGAAAGATGAGCCCCGTAAAAGTTTTGGGATCAAGGTTCAGAATCTTCCAGTACGCTCTACAGGTAAAATTTTGTATGACTACACTTTTCTCTCTAATACTGTTAAGGAATGATACAGAAGATAGACAGGGCAACTTGGATTTTATAGTTTGTAATGAAGTAGTTTTTCCTTTTGTAGTTCATTAACATTTAATATCTTATTTAAAAAGCAAATAATTATTACAACTTTGTGTAGTTTAATTTTTGGTTTGTTACCCTTGTGTACACATAGATTGTATATAGATGATATTTTATACATATTGTATACATGTACACATATTCATATTCTTTATGTATTATAGGCATTTATACATATATAAAGATTATTTGATAGATGATATATAAAGAAACCGTGATTGTTTTTGAATAAATATGTTTCTGAATTAATTATTTGGGTATTGGGAAATTTGGTATCATAAAATTTTAGAAGTACAAGTGGTATTTTCAGTTTTTTAAAAAGAATTATTTATTTAATTTATATTTATTTATTTAATGAGAGAAAGGCAGGGTGGAGGGGAATGAGAAAGCAAACCGCCAGGGTGATTTCTTGAACCGTGGTTGGCCATGTGGGAGTCCAGCACCTTAACCACTGTACCACCTACTGGCTCACTATTTTCAGTTTTATTTTGGTTTGGTGTTCTATGTTACATAAAGTAACTTCAGGCATAAAATTATGTTAGGAAACCCATTTCAAAATATTAATATTTTTGTTGAGGAATGCCATGAATAATGGGAAAGGCTGGTTAAAAGCTGTTCTGTAGTTCTTTACTCTCGATATTTTTCATTGTCATTAACTGGTGTGGGGCACACATGCCTGGATGTTTTTCAAGACACTGAATATGAGATTTGAACCATGCAGTTGGCCATGTGGGATCTAACTGTCTTAACTGCTGTGCCACCTGCTCGCCCAAGAGCTTATATTTTTTTGTAAGCTGTGTCTACGTGGGAGAGAGAAAGTGAGTGTGTACACTCTCACACAAGCACTTCCCCCCAGTGGGCGTGGTAGTACCACAATGCTCTCTCCATTTCTGTGTCCTGTCAGGATCCTGAGCATGTGAACATGTACCCTACACGTTATTCAGGCTGACAGGACCAGTATTTAAACCCCCATCAGCCATGTGGGATCCAGCTTCCCTTGCGCAGTATCTAACTACTGTGTGACAGGGCTGGCCCTTTTGAGAGTTACTTTATTTGAAAAAAACTGTTTTAATGCTAACAAAGCATAGGTCAAAAATTATGTTAAAGATTTTATATGAATAATTTGCTTATTGAGTTGTAATTAAGTCAGGAAAAGAAATAACTTGTTTTTGTTTGCTGATTTAGATACAAGCCTTAAAGATGGCCTTTTCCATGAATTTAAGAAATTTGGAAAGGTGACCTCAGTGCAGATACATGGAGCTTCAGAAGAGAGGTATGGGCTGGTATTTTTCCGGCAGCAAGAGGACCAAGAAAAAGCATTGACTGCATCAAAAGGAAAGCTTTTCTTTGGCATGCAGATCGAAGTAACAGCGTGGATAGGGCCAGGTAAGAGACAAGGAGGCTGTCTCTATTACGTGCTAGCTAAGCTGTTTGTATTCCAGTTCCTGAGAAGGCAGCAGCCTCAGCAGCAGCCTCAGTGGACACTACTTTAGCTTAATTTGTTGGCATACCTCCAGTGTTCCTTGGTTTATGGCATGGTTATACTGGTTCACAGCTTAATAAAAAATATTGTTTTGGTCAGGGAGGTAAAAATTTTTTTACAATGGAGAAATGCTGGCTTTTTGTTTTGATTTTTGGTTCTTTTAGTTTGCTACCAGGCACGAGATTGCTGGAGAGAGACAGAGAGGCAGAATGAGAAGTCACCTCAACTATGATCAATCCGTCACGCCTCCTGGCTGGCCCAGAAATGCCGATCTTTTGAGTCTGAAAGGCAGACCTTTAGACTCTGGTTGAGTTCAGCCTTACCAAAAGGATTGAGTTTATATTCTCCTAGGAGATAGTTCCTAGGAGACTGACAATAGAATTATCCTGAGTTAGAAGCAAAGTGTAGTACTTGTTAATATCAGTTTGAGGGACTAGTTTGACAAGTTTTATTTCCATTATACCCAGCACTGATTTGATCTGTAGCTTGCAATATCCTGGAAAGATATCGATGGAGAAGCTGGGCTGTCTTTAGATGCAGTCTGTTGAGAATTTCAGGGGCACGTGTGATCATCTTGAACCTGCCTGAAAGGCCTGTTGTATGCAGGGCGTCTCCGGCACAGCAGGTCAGTGTTGTCCGGTGCCAGAGCCATCTCTGTGCTTGTTTAAAACGCACACTCCTGGCACCTACCCTAAGCTTGCTTACTGGTTTAGAATTTGTACACTCATGTTGGGGAACCCCCTGCTTTAAGGCTACCCATGAGTAAATTTGAAAAGAAATAAATAGGACTATTAAAATTCTGCTGTTGCCTTCTGAAGCTAAGACAGCTGAACTTTAAGACTGAGATTTTGAGTAGATTTATTGGGTAAACTTGGCCCAATTTTAGGGCAAACATGAATATTCATAGACTATTCGCTGTACTTGACAAGAAAAATATGACTTCTTTGATAAATGTCATTCATATATTAAAACAGGCTTGGAATTGTTAGCATCAATAATAAAATGTGCTTAATTTTATGATAACACAGGAATTCAAAGGAGTTATAGGATATGCCTTCGTGTTCTTTCCTCTATTAAATTAAAGTAATGCTCTAAAGTATACCGAGTTAAGAGCAGCTCATTTCTATTTAATACATTTGAGCAAGTCAAAACTGCTTGAGGAAAATATATGTATGTGTAAATACATGTATACATGTATGTACACACACGCGCACACACACATTTTTTAAAAAGTTTACCAGAGGGTGTGGGCACTCTCCAGAGAGAGACAGAGGGACAAAGGAAGAAGGAGAAAGCACCCTGTGGGGCTTGGTCATGCCACAGTCCCTTCTCATCCATTTCTCGCTTTTAGGATTTTAGGTACGCACATATGTACTTGGGATGTTTTTGAAGCCGACTGTGTGGTTGACCTTATGGGATCCAGCTCCCTTAACCCCCAGGCCACAGGCTGGAGATACTTACTTATTTATTTATCTCCCTCTCTCCCTCTCTCCCTCTCTCCCTCCCATGAGCAATATAAGAGAGACAGGCACCCATAATGGGGTCTTCGCAGGATCTACTAACCCCTAGCCTCAGCCAGACGAGATCATGGGTGCCTGGCATTTATAGGGAGGCCACGGGCCATGAGCCTGGGACCTTCCCTTGTGGATCCAGTTGTGTTATACTCCTGTGCCATCATCTGGCTCTAGGAGTAATATTTAGAATGTCATGTGGTTTTACCAATATTTTGAGAATGAGTTGTAATTTTTAAGTAATAAGGATCTAATCCACAGGCATTCAATAGGTGATTGTCTGATCTCCCATCGGTAGAGCTAGCTTGAGATTTTTTACTGTAATAAAAGCATTTTACATAAATATTTAGTACCCAGGAAACATAGCCATGTGCTGTGTAATGGCATGGCAGGCTGTGGGTGTGACAGCGTTCTGGTAGGGTGAGAATAGGCTGTACCACATAGCTGAAGTGTACAGGGTCTGCACCACTCTGTGGTGTGGGCACAGCTGTGAAACTGCTTAACATTACCCAGAACACATCTCCACCGTACATGAGGTATGCCCGTCGCTGGGGTTTAACCGCTTGCTCTTGAAGGTTTTGAGTATGGTTGTCTCAAACTAAAGGTACTTTTTCCAAATGGGACAGCATTAAATAGAGCTTTATGAGGAATTTGAAAGTAGTGGAATCTGAGTTTGCAAACCTGTTTGGAATTATGCTATTAGACAGTTAAGTCATAAATGTATTGAAATGCATTGAGCTTATTGCTTCTGTTAGAACCTTTCAAAAAGATTCAGATCCTAGATAGACCCCTGGTGGTGACTGTGATTGTACTTCATAATTCCTGTACCCAAAATTGAGTCCTCAAGTCATGAACTTTCAGGATAGAGAGGTTTCCCCGAAGATGTGTAAGCAGACTGTATGAGGAACGCATGCTTTCCCTGTGGCAAACTGAATTTCTGAATTTGAACATTGACCAAGTTACTTGGTGAAAATGAAGCCATTACAGATTTTCATAGTGGCAAATTACACTTTATTCTGCTGATTTGGCCTTTGGAGTGTAGACCTTAGGATGTAGCTGAATTACTATTTTTTTGAGTGAGGGGTAATATTCCTAAATGCCTGCCTCATATTAGTGAGGTCATTTCAAGAAGACTGAGTTTATCTTAAAATGAATTCTACTCCTGTGAGATCTGTTGAAAATGTAGATACGGGTATTATGAGCCTGGGTAGTTTGGGGTCCACCTGACTCTAAGTACATATTCTTTGGTGGAGCTGGTAAGGTTAGACTGAGCTACTGTTAGAGCTGTCAAATTGGAATCAGAAGTGGGATGGTTGGATTCACTCTGAAGTTGAGTTTTTAGTGAGGCCGAAGAATCCAGGAGTTCTTTGTAAAACAAGAAACTTTTTTAGGGTCATATTTTCCCTTCTGATATCATTGAAGTTGATGTTGCTTTGATTTATTCATAAAGTCCTTAACTATGTGACTCTGAAGATAATGGTTGGGCAAGTAATTTTCTTTTTGACCTGGTTAGCTAACATTGGATTTTCAATTTCACTTATTTTAAAATTGGACAGGATTGTAATCATGAAAACTGTATACACCTGCCCACATTCTCTAAAAGATACTTCATATGCAGATGATAAAAGACCAAACCAATGGCTACACTATAGGTCTGCTTCGTATTTGTACTTGTTCTGTTTCTGTCCACGTCATGGCCAATGAAATTCTAGCAACATGCTTCAATCCTGTTATCTTTTGATACTTATGAAAAAAATGTATTAAGCTTTACTATACAGTATTGTGCTTTTCAAAGCCATAACTCTTTTTTTTTTTTTTTTT